ACAGATCTTCTCGCTTACCAACTTACCTGTTTTGCGACCACTCGCACTTACGACGGACCCCCGATCGACCTCAGACCTTGCGCGTCGTGTCGCCGGCAGAAGTGACGTCCTCTGATCCTCACTGCGGGTCCCGGTAAGTATTTCCATTGCCTGATGTACAGTACACTGTCGGTACTGTACATCTGCAACGCTGTACTGTACTGTATAGAGTTCCTCACTTAACGACCAATCCGTTTAACGACCTGGTCATAGGAACGGAACGCGGTCGTTAAGTGAGGAATACCTGTAAAATGAAAAAAAAAAAAAAAAGGAAGAACACAGGGGTGCAAAAAGACAAGTTCAGGTCCTCTTTCATATAATAAATAAAGGCTCTTCCTCTAGTGATCTCATGTAAAAGTCAGAGGTCCAGACCACTCAAGGGATTGAAAGAAGAAAACCCACCACCCCCCCAAAAAAAAAAAAAGCACCTTCCACAATGAAACATTTTATGAAGCAAGAATGTTTAAACAACATTAGATGGGAGGGGATCTGTGTGTGGGTTTTTTTTAATCAATTTTCTTTGAAAATGTAAAGTCATTTTTTCTACAATACAATTTTCATTGTTATAAGCACATTGTGAGATACGTAATCTATCATTGAATTATTGCTATAATTTGCATTTCTTACATTTTAATAAAGTGACACCTGTGTTTTTACATTTAGACACACACTTTTATAGTGATTAGCTTATTTTTTTTGTATAGATTTATTTATACACCCACTTTACATACTAAATATATGGCAACACCTTTATGTGATTAAAAATATGATATTAGGGCTCCCCTCTGAAGGCAGCAGCCCATCCCTTACCCCAATATATTCAAAAGGTACCACACAAAAAGTCAAACACTAGACATGGTTACAAAGTCAGAATTTTATAATATTTATACAATTCTCCAATTTATAGTCCTTTTAGACCATGATATTAATGAATAAATGATCAATAACAAAATTTACAAGAAGGGTTGTGAGAAATGTATAGCACCTCAAGAAAGATAACTGTTTAAAGTGACAAGGTTTTGTGTTCTAGATTTGCTTCCAGCATGCTGTGGCAAAAAAAAACAAAATAAAAAAACAAGGCATACTAGAGCTTGTAGCGTACCAGTCAAAGAAACCTGCACAATTCATCTTTACACTTCTACAGGAGGCAGAAAAGAAGAAGTGCAAAGGAACATGTTGGTCAATATTGAACCAAAACTGGAACACGCTGATTTTGTACAGGAATAGGAAAAGCAAACTATAAAAAGGGTAACAAAAAAACCTTGGTGTGGTTTGAGTAGTTAAATCTTATAAACACTGTGGGGAAAGCCTACTCCATAAAATATATTTGTATACACAATATATTCAGTCATCACATATACACATTAGAATTACATCAATATAATTTACACAACTTACAAATTTTACAAAATTACTTTCATAAAGATATAAAAAAAGGCACCAGGACTCCATTTAGTTAAATAAACTGTGCCATATTAGCAGTCACAAATACTGTGCACAGAACAAAAACCAAGATGATTTGAATCCAGTCTTTCATAAAAGTGCAAGCCCAATCAAAGTTGTTTTTTCAGTCTTAGCGAGTTGTACAAGCCAGTAATGTTTCAACCCACCAAGACCATTTTATTGCCCGAGGCCGCTGCTCCTAAGAATAAACTGGAGAAAAGGCTATACAACCACCCAAATCCTAAAAAAGTTGTAAAAAAGCTTATAGGTGCTTTAACCAACCAGAAAAATCTGTGGTGGGTGCAGCTTTTTTTTTCCCAATTCAAAACAGTTTAGACTTGGTTAAGAAATAGAAATCTTGCATGGAAAATTATACCTCCAGGGCCTTGATGAACAGCCATGCTGAAAATCCCTTAAATGATCTTTTCCTTCCTGCTGCTTGTCCTTGATCCTGATGTCTTGTGATGCAAATCAGTGCGAAGCCAGATTTCAGATAAGGGGTTAAGAGGTAAATAATTCTACAAGCAATGTCTTCTAATTCTGCCAAACCCCAAATGCACAGTTGCTGGAAGGTTAGCACCCATACACAACTATGGCACATGTATTTCATAAAAGAATGTAGGTCAGGTACAGTTTAAGATTTTGGCACACTTATCACCCTGAGTTGTATATGTCAGAATTATTGCTTGAGACCTGATAGAACAAAAAAGTTGTGCAATAAAAAAGGTAATAAATTAAAAAATACAATTTTCACCGATTTTGTACCAACACCATAAACTTGACAGAAAGTGAACATGAGACAGGATGCAAGTCTACACACAGGGGGCAGAAGGACGTGGGTCTACAGAACAAGCGTTAAGTGCCTAGAAATCTTGGTAAATATGACAAAAGATTCAGTGTTTATTTCTTCTACTCCAGTTAAACATTTAGTAAAGGGTGAAGGCTAAATATTAAATGTATGGTGCAGTTAGGTATGCATTGCTAGAGGATTCTGCATCATAGCCAACAGACATTTTAGCCTGTGGCTCCTGCAATAAATTACTCATTTAAAAATACTTCAAGTGGTTAATCCATTCATATCCTACAATGTGATACAAGATGACACTTTCCAGCATTGCAGGACTGGCCTTGCCATAGCTTGAAAGGAATATATATATATATA